GCAGGAAGCCTCCTTCACTGGGCACATTGTAGCCCCATTTTAGGTATTCCTAAAAGATTCTTTAGTGATTTCCTTGCTGAAAACTCCTTAGTGCAATTCTCTCCAGGCTCTTGATTCTAGAAGAAGATAGAACCTCACAAAAATTCTTTCTCTATTGGGATCACCCTAAAGTTTTTGGGAAGAGTCTTTTCTATGAGGTTTATATCTTTTGGGTGAAACATGAAAGTTCAACTCATTTCCACTGCAGGTTTTCTCCTTTGGGATTTTAAATTAGGCAGAGATCAAGTCCAAATCTCAACAGCTCCAAAATTCCAGGGAACAGAAATCAAGCTCTTCCAGTCATTAAGTCCCCTTTACTTGGCTGAGGGGATGGAGAAATGCCACAACATAACAAGAATTAGCTATAGGTGGGAATGAGCTAAAGTCCTAAAAATTGGTTTCATATTTTTAACTTGTCATGTTTGGTATTTCATGTTCTCAGTTTTTTTTGTGGCCTCTGCAGAAATTCTGAGGCAGGTTAGGAAAAGTCTTGGTACACATATATTACATAGACCAAAAAGCAGTCATTAGGACAGAACAAGGGAAAATTGAATGGCTTAAAATCAGGAAAGGTGTGTGCCAGGGCTGTATCCTTTCCCCTTACTTATTCAATCTGTATTCTGAGCAAATAATATGAGAAACTGGATTATATGAAGAAGAATATGGCCTAGGATTTGAGGAAAATGCATTAACAACCTACGATATGCATATGATACAACCTTGCTTGCTGAAGGGAAGAGGGCTTAAAATACTTACTGATGAAGATTAAAGACCACAGCATTCAGTATGAGTTGTATTTCAATGTAAAGAAAACAAAAATCGTCACTATGGGACCAATAAACAGTATCCATATTAATGGAGAAAAGATTGAAATTGTCAAAGAATTCATTTTGCTTGAATCTATCATCAACACTCAAGGAAGCAGCAGTCAAGAAATCAAACGACGTACTGCATTCAGCAAATCTGCTGCAAAGATGTCAGTTTGAGGACAAAGGTGTCCCTGATCCAACTCATGGTATTTTCAAATGCATGTGAAAGTTGGACAATAAATAAGGAAGACCATAAAATAATTGATACACTTGAGTTATGGTGCTGGAGAACAATATTAAAGGTCCGTACTGCCAGAAGAACAAACAAATCTGTGTTGGAAAAATACAACCAGCATGGCTCCTTAAAAGCCATAATGGCCAGATTTTGTCTCACATAATATGTCTCATACTTTGGACATATTATCAGGAGGGACCAGTTCCTGCAGAAGGACATCATGCTTGGTAAAGTGGAGGGCTAGTGAAAAAGAGGAGATCCTCAGTGAGACTGATAGGCAGTAGCAGCAGTATTGGTCTCAAGGGCAATAACAATTGTGAGGATGGTGCAGGCAGTGTTTTGTTGTGTTGTACATAAAATCGCTATGAGTCAGAACTGACTCTACAGCACCTAAGGACAGATTGGCTTTGGCCTGTAGGCCATAGTATGCTAACTCCTGCTATAGACATTAGTGATCTGGAATTATAGCCCACTTTCCCCCAGTTTCCTAACAGATAATAATAATAAAAAAGAGTACTGGTTAACAAAAATGAGGCTTTCATAACATATAACAAACTGTAATATATTACTGATTTTAATATGTTGTTATTGTTAAGTGCTGTCTAGTTGGTTTCAACTCATAGCAACCCTGTATAGGGTTTCTGAGGCATGACTGGTGAGTTTGAACCACTGACCTCATGGTTATAACTGTCTTTATGTTCCTGTGCATTATCCTGCAGTGCCACACAAGGACTCCTATTTTATTAATTTTAATATAATGTGTATTTTAATATACATTATATAATTATAAATGTATACCTTAATATTGTTGTTGTTGTTATGTGCCATCGAGTCGGGTCTGACCGACAGCGACCCTGTAGAGGGTTTCTGAGGAGCAGCTGGTGAACTTGAACCGCCAATCTTGCAGTTCAAATGTCTTTGCAGTCTGGCGCATTAACCCACAGTGCTACATCAGTACTCCATATATACATTATCTCAATTTAATGAAACTGATATAATTTTATCATTAACAAAAAAAATAAGTATAAGTGGAACAGTATCTGTATTTCACTTTGGGAATTATTGCTATAGACCTTTTAGATGGAATGTTAGCTGGTGGGTGAGTGGGAATTAACCTCATTACATTTGGTGAAAGGAAGCTAACAGTTGGTATTTATTTTCTTGTATGACATTACTTGTTGTTGTTGTTGTGTGCCATGGAGTCGGTTCCGACTCATAGTGACCCTGTACAGGGTTTTCGAGGCTGTAAATCTTTACGGGAGCAGAACACCTCATCTTTCTCGTGCGGAACAGCTGGTAGTTTCGAACTGCTGACCCTGAGGTTCGCAGCCCGATTCGTAACCACTACACTACCAGAGCCTTAGTTCCCTCATAAAAAGAAAAAAGAAAAAGAAAAACTGCTATCAAAGTTTAACTATCTCTCTTTAATTTGTGGACTATTTGTGTTAGAAAGAATAAAATTAAAGTTACAAAAAACAAAACAAAAGAACAACAAACTCATAACAAACAAAACAAAATAAAAACTAACAAAACAACCCTGAAAGCACAAAAGGTGATTTTAATATTAACTTAATGCTTACCTGGTAATGATATGTAGGTTGCTGATACACTGGCTGAGCTACCATCACTGGGGAACTAGATATAGATCGGGACTATAAAAGGAAAGAAAAATCGGAAAATTATTTAGGCAAAAATTCCTTAAAATAATTCACAACAAAATTTATCTCAGATTGGTTTCCTAAACCCAGTCAACTTGGGGTTTATGATTAGAAATTTAATTTTTCTATCTCTTTTTGATTTTATTAAAAATACTGACTTCTATTATTACAATCATCACAGTACTCTCCATAAGGGGTTTCATTTCCATACTATGCAATCACTAGAAAAGATGCTTTTAGACTGAAATACAACCATTATCTCCAAAGATTACCAAAACACAGCTCAATGAGAACATTCATAGGAAAACAGCAGGTAGACTTAGGGTGATACTGCCTACTTTTAATACAGAGAGCAGTTTTTGTTAAGTGTCATTGAGTTGGTTCTAACTCAGTAGTAGGTATTTAATACTTACAATAACATTTATAACTGAATAAATAATTGTAGCTGATTTTTCCACTCATGAATTTTTTATGATCAACATCTTATTTGCTTGTTATACAATTGATTAAAGCAAATACATTATTGAAACATTTTTCAACTTCTGTTGTTAGTTTATTGATATAACATTTAAATGAGTTACTCATCCCCCAAAATTTAAAAACCATATATTTATGTCTTAAGAGTAATACTTGGTAATTATTCAAAATAGTAGTTTAAGTAATATAACAGAGTGACTAATCTGTTACTATATTAACATATTAAAGGATTAAAAAAATCTAATCTCAGTAGATACAGACATTTACTAAATTTGCTACAATTTAATACTCTTTAATGATAAAACTCTTGGCAAAGAGAATATAAAGTAACTTCCTTAATTGATTTAGGGCAGTAATTTTCAATCAGGAGTGATTTTGCCCTGTTGGGAACATTTGGTAATGTTGAGAGACATTCTTTTAAATTATTCCAACTATGGGGAATACATTGGTGTATGGTGGATAGAAGTCAGGGACACTGCTACATATCCTATAATCCACAGGACAGTATTCCACAACAAAGAATTATCCAACCCAAAATGCAAATAGTGCTGAAACTGAGAAACAGTACAGTAGAGTGGATTTTGATTAATAGAGACACTGTATAGGGTTTCTGAGGAGCAGCTGGTAGATTTGAACAGCCAACCTTGTGGTTAGCAGTCCAGTGTTTATCCTACAGTACCACACCACGACTCCTATATATATATAAGTATATATACTGTACAGGGTTGCTATGGGTCGGACCCGACTCGATGGCACTTAACAACAACAACAACAACTGTTGTAGCTACTATTGCTAAGTGCCATTGAGTCAGTTCTGACTCATAGTGCCATTGTATAGAGTTTCTAAGGAGCAGCTGGTGAGTTTGAATCACTGAGCTTGCAATTCAAACCGACTTTTTGGTCCAGTGCTTATGCTACAGTGCCACACCAGGACTCTTCCATATATACATATATATGTGTGTGTGTACGTGTATGTTGTTATGAGTCATTGAGTCAGTTCCGACTAAATAGGGTTTCCGATGAGCAACTGGTGAGCTTGAACCACTGATCTTGTAGTTCAAACTGATCTTGCAGTCCAGTGTGTTAACTCATAGCATCACATTGGGACTCTGTGAATATATATGTATGCATATATATGTGGTGTTGTTTTTTGTTAAGTGCTGTCAAGTTGGTTCTGACTCATAGCAACCATGTATAGGGTTTCTGAGGAGAGATTGGTGGGCTTGAACCACCGACCTTGAGGCTAAAATGGACTTTGTGGGCCAGCACATTATCCTGCAGTGCCACACCAATTGTGTAGAAACCCTACACAGAATTGCTGAGTCAGAACCAATTTGACAACACTCAACAATACCAACATATATATTTACAAACAATATATATATTGTTGCTGTTGTTAAGTACTGTCAAGTAGATTCTGACACATAACAATCCTGTATAGGGTTTCCAAGGAGTGGCTAGTGAGCTTGAACCATCCACCTTGCAGTTAAACTGACTTTGCAGTCCAGCGCATTAACCCACAGTGCCAGGACTCCATACATATACAAGTTTAGCAATTCAACATCAACCTTGCTGTTTGCAGTCCATTACAGACACTACAGTGCCACACCAGGACTTCACATGGTACAGTGCCACAACTGTTTGTGTGTTTATGTGCACATATTATTGGACTGTGAACAGCAAAGTCGATGGTGAATTGCTGAACTTGTATATATATGCTGTTGTTAATTGTTGTCCAGTTGGTTCTGACTTACAGTGACCCTGCATAGGGTTTCTGAAGAGTGGCTGGTGGGTCTGAACTGCCAATCTTTCGGTTAGCAGTACAGTGCTTACCCTGCAGCACCATAGCAGGATTCCATTTGTTGTTGTTGCTAAGTGCCATCAGGTTGGTTCCAACTCATAGTGACCTGGTATAAAGCTCTCTGAGGCTTTAATGCTTCTTGGGAGCAGAAAACCTCATCTTTTGCCCAAGGAGCAGTTTGTGGGCTTTAACTGCAGACCTTGTGATCTGTGGACCTTGTGATTTGCAGCCCCGTGCTTATCATATGGAGACACTGTGCTCCCAGGATCCCATTTAGTAGTTTAAAAATAAAATGTAGTATCAGAACTGGACTGTGAACCACAAGGTCGGCAGTTCAAACCCATCAGTTGCTCTTTAGAAACCTTATACAAGGTCGCTATGAGTTGGAACTGACTCAATGGCACTTAGGACAACAACAAAATCCTTCTAATACGGAAGAAGTTTTAAAACATAATACCAAAAATGTAAACTATAAAACATTAACATATCTGTCAACATAAGAATAAAGAAACCGTGTATGATTAAAATAAATAAACAAATAAACAAAGGTAACAGACAAGATACAAACTAGAAAAAGATATTAATAGCCCACAAAATTCATATAATGAAGTCAAGAAAAAGACCCCAATAGAAAAACGGACAGAGGATATGAAGAGTTAGTTGACAGAAAGAGCAACCTAAAAGGCCAACAAGTATGTGAAAATATGTTCAACCTTACCAGTGTTTGTTTGTTGTTAACTGATGTCAAGTAGGTTCTGACTCATAGCAACCCTGTATAAGGTTTCCAAGGAGTGACTGGTGGGCTTAAACCGCCACTTCAACCTTGCAGTCCAGTGCTTACCCTTACAGTGCCACACCAGGACTCCATACCATTGTTTAGCCAAATGAAAATGAAAACAAGGTATCACTTTCATGGAGTCTTGGTGAGAGAGGGAGACATGGCTTGACCATCTTGTGTGAGCAGCTTTGGCAACAGAAGGTGGCCTAGAAAAGCAGATTCACATAGGCAACAGGAAAGGTGTGACTTACTCTTTTCTTCATGTTCCCTTGGTGATCTGAGGTGTGATCAGCTCCTACCCTCATATACTCCCAAGGAAAACCCTGCTCTCTAGTTCAGAGCCAGGTGGCTGGGAGCCACGCCAGTGTGAGTTGGGGTTGACTGTGTGGCTTTAGTGTGCTGCTTTGGAGCCTGGATTCAGGTACGCTTGTCTCCATATCTACAAAACCTGCAATCACTAGAACAGCATTTAACTAGTCATCCTGCCCTCAGCTTCCATGTGGTCCTAACAAACACTGAAACCAGCTCTATCAAGGACCCCCACAAACTACTTCTGGACTGAGTGTTCTGAACATAGAAAACACCAAGGCCATCAGGAACTCCAACTAGGACCAGGAACTCTGCACATCCCTTCCACAACCACCTCATGAGATCCTTGAATTACACGAGACAACCAAAGATTTCTCCCTTCTGTGTTCAAAACAGCAGTTAGTTTTTATAAACACAACAACCCCAGAATGCCCTAGAGACAACAGACAAGTTTAGCTCACAAAGAAACATGAGAGAATGGCTCAAACAAATGACCAAGATATAGAAACAGAAAACATTTGAGGAAAAAAAGCTAATGGAACTGAAAAAAAATTCAGAAGAATGATATTTTGATACTTTTAATATATTGACAGAAACATCGAGGAAAGCAAGGAAACACAGAAAAAGCTTTAGAAGAATTCTGGAAAATGCCACAAGAACAGAAAAAATAAATGCAAATTTTGAAATAATATAAAACCTGCAATTAGACTCCCAGAAGATTAATACTAAGAGTTCACAAAGGGGAAATACATTGAAAGGACAAAGGAGAAGATTCAATGGAAGCCTAGATTAGTGAACTTGAAGATAAATCTCTCAAAACTAGTATGCTAGAAGAACAATCAGAAAGAAGCGTGAAAAAAATCCAAACACTGTCTTAGAATTATGTGGGACACCACGAGGAAGAACAACTTATGGGTGACTGGAATTCTAGAAAAGGAAGGGACAATAAAAAGCACAGAGAAAATTGTCACAGAGTTGCTGGAAGAAAACTTCCCTAACATCATGAAAGGCAAGAAGATAAGCATGTAAGAAGCCGAATGAGCTCCAAACAGGATAGATCTCAAGAGAAAATCACCAAGACATATCATAATCAAACTTTTCAAAATAAAAGACAAGGAAAGAATCCTGAGAGCAGCTTAGGAAAAACTAAAAGTTACCTACAAAGGAGAACCAGTATGACTAAGCTCTGATTTCTCAGCAAAAACCATGCAGGCAAGAAGGCAATGGGATGACATGCACAAAACTAAGAGAGAGAAAAGAAAAAATTGGCAATCAAGAATAATATATCCAGGATGGCACATTAGGAAGAAGCATGGTTGTAGACTTCTGACAGTAATGACACAGAATACCAGATGAAGCAGGTTCAGGGGACAGTCCCAGAAACTGAGAAAACATATAAAGGAATATTTAGAAGGATTGAAGGCTTACTGCTGGTGGGATTTGTAGCAGAAACATGAAAGGTAGCATTTTCTGACCTGCAGCTGCCAGCAGCTGCTGGAGCAGCCATCCTGGGCATAATGGAGCAGAAGCAGGATCAGAGGAGTGCTCCTGTGGCAGAGGTTTGATCGACCACTGAGAATAAAGGTGTGAACATTTTTTTACTGTTCATTGGTCTCTCACTGTCTGTAC